TCTCCAGCCCACGTGAAAGTTTTGCCTACGACATATTGTAGTTTATATATTTTTAGTTTTATTTATTGACTTTTTATTTTTGTTGGTGGGTGGATGGGGGGGGGGCTGAGAAGGTCTATTAGCATTCTGTAGAGTTACTCTTTCTTTCTTAGTTAGTTTTTTCTGCTGCTTTTTAGTTCTTGTAGTTTTCATTTTATGTCGTATTTAGAATGATCTCTAAGTATCTTTGAGCATGTCATGTGTGTGTGTGTCCTTGTCGGTATGTGAATTGCGAATTTTATATCTGATCCCGGGTGCAGGTGTCCGCATTTTGGCAGTTCCCGTACTGCGTCATGTGAGTGCATATGATGTTATTGGTTCTGTAAGAGGGTAAGACTCGTACGAGTACACCATTGTTTACGTAATACAATAAATACATTTCTCCTTTTAAAGAACATACATAGTAACGCATATTCTGAATACATGCGTATTGTATAACTTACGTATATAGTATATATAGAAGACTACATATTTAAACACTTGTATGCATTATATACATCATGAACAGAGTTTATTCATAGGAATACATAGGAATCCATTTTCTAAGTACACTCACACGATATATCGTATGTGTAATATATGTACACAGGGAGCGCATTTCCTTAATACGTACACGTGATCTACATGATGTACAATCATCCCCTCTTTGGGTATACTTCTCTATGACGACCTTCCTCTGACGTTGCCTCCTCAGGCGTAGCAATCCACATTCGATGTCTCTCATTTCTGAATTTCTCCCCCCTCCCCCCCCCTCAGAATCTTGTTTTCAGGTAATGAGAATTCTCAAATATTTGCTTACTATATTCGCATCGTTCATCTCTTAATATATATATATATATATATATATATATATATATATATATATATATATATATATATATATATATATATATATATATCCGTCTTATTGGCTTCATATATCTCTGTACTTCGATTCTTTAGTCTTTATATCTTATCTTTCTTACATCTTTTTGTCTTTATATATATTCGAGTTTTCCATCCCCCCCCTTTTTTTAGGATGGGATAGGATAGGAGGGGAAAAAGGGGAGGGGATTAAGGATATAAGGGAATTGGAGGGAAAAGCACGAAAATTAAATACAGTAAGAGAGAAAAAAGAGAGGGGCAGACCCTCGTGCTCAGTTCTGATCTGGAGTTCAGATTTTAGTGGCAGATACTTTCATTCCAAATTCGACCTGTTTTCTTCTTTTACATTCCTTTTTCATCCACTTTCTGTCTTCAATACTTTTTATCTCTGATACATCTATTCTACTTCCACGGAATAGCTTTGAATGTTGAAGGCGCACATGTACACGTTTACGTTATGTATACATGGGTGGTGTGTGTACTCTGTATACATGCAGTGATCCACTTGAAGTCCATGTTTCCAGAATTTTCTGTCTATCTCTTGACAGATCTATTCTACATCTGCCTCTGAATGAATAGATCCCTTTGCGCACATGTACGCTTACATCGTGTATGCATAGGCTGTGTACATACTGCGTCTCCACTTGAAGTTTTCTGTCTTCAGTATTTTTAATCTCTAAAAAAATGATTCAACAAATGCCAACTTTCCATACAGAAGGTGATCATATGTATATTCATATGTATACATAGGCTCTGTGTGTACGATGTACACATATGCTCCGTCACATTGAGTCTTGTGTCTTACTAAATGGATAGCTTTGCTCGCAGAAAGTGCACATACACACCTGTATCATGTATACATACACCGCTTATAATACATACTTCTCTTGAAGTCTTCTGTCTTAATAAATGAAAACTTTTGAAGACGGCGCACATATGCACACTCACATCATATACATACACGGTATGTATGCTTTTACACATGTGTATTCACATCTTGCATACATAGGCTGTGTGCGTACTTTGTACTCATATGTATATAGAGACTGTGTGTATTTTCATACACATATGTGGACTCGTATGATGTATATATAGGCCGTTTATATATTTTGTACACATGCACAATCACATCACGCATACATACATTGTGTGTATTCTTTGTACCCATATGTACACTCACATGTATGCAAATGTACACATGTATACTCATCTACAAATATCATGCAGGCCTATACATATCCACTCATATCATGTATGCATACTCTGTGTCCATATTTTGTACACATATGTGCACTCACACGTATTCAGACATTGTATGTACGTTGTACACACATGTATACGTATATTCACGCACCATGTATGCACATGTACACACATCATGTATAAAAATGCACTTACATAATGTATGCATATATATTCACATCATGTATATATACACCCTGTGTGTGCTTTGTTCACATATGTACCCTCATATCATGTATATATAGACGGTGTGTCTGCTTTGTATACATATATACTTTTCCACTTGAAGTCGACGAGAGAAACGAATGGCTTGATTAGTTTCTCCACAGAATACCTGATGAACCTTTTTGACTCGGCGATGAGCTTGCTACATCTCCTCCTCCTCCTCCTCCTCCTCCTCTTCTTCTTTTTCTTCTTCTTCTTCTTC